AGGACCCCGGAAGGGGTGGCGAGCGCGTGGCCGTGGCGACGTGGTGGGGTGGCTGAGAGCGGCGGCCCGGGCCCCGACCAAGCTCCGCAGCGCGGACGGGGCCTTGCCACCCCAGCACCGCCCGCCGGCTCTGTTCTGTTACTCTGAGTGCACAACTGTAATGCAGTTGAAAGTGGCAAACTTTCCTAGTGACAAACCTTATTTTTGGTTCTGCAGTGGCACTCTACAAATTGAACTGAAGAACAACTGCAAGACTCACGTCAAACTGCAAAGACTTTAAACTGCAAAGACTTTCTATTCATTCAGTTTAAACTGCAATAAGATGACCAGTTTTACTGTAGCAACGCTACTCTCAGTTTAAAATGATAGACTAAACAAGTCTTCCAATTTTTGTTCACCAATTTACGACTCAATAACAGAGTTGTACACTAAGATTAGCAGAAGGGCCGCCCGCCACCCACACGACTTGCCTCGGCCGTCTGCTGCTGCTGGTGCTGAGCTGGCCGAGACGGTGGCCGGGCCCTGAGCCGGGACCGCCGATAAAAGAGTTTGAGGAAGTGAGGAAGTGCGATCGCGACGCTGCTATGGATATTCGGAGATATGAGTTGCTAGCCCAGGCCAGGGAGTACCACAATTCATGCGCGAGAAAAGGGTTGCTAAGCAGTCACACTGCACAGTACGAGGAACGGTGTCCCACGTTTCAAGGCAATTTTGGAAACTTCAAAAGAAAAATAACGACATCGTAAACCCTTTTGGTAGTCTTCTCGGATATAATGACACAGTAAGATACCCTTTTAAACAAAACACTAGCTGAATACCACCCTATTCCCCCTTCAAATACCCAAAGGACGGCTTCACGAAGCTGTTTCATCCCTCCCAAAATCCCGTCGGCGGCGAGACCAAGACAAGGCAGCTTCAAGCTTCAATGCATGCAGCCCGTCGCGTGCCGGAGGGGGTCCTCCGGTTGGCCGCTCTGCTGCAGTGGCGGGGCGTGGCGGGGCGTGGCAGGGAGTGGCGGGGAAAGGGAGTAAATAATGCAGCGCTGCAGACACCGTTAGACATTTATAAACAAGGGGGCCAGGACGGGGGCACCGCGTCGACCGTGTAGGAGAAGGCGGTGGTCGGGGGTGCGGCGGGGCCAGCTGGGCACCCGCCGGTTCCCGCGGGGTTCACAAGTGTGTGCGAACTGCATCAGCGAGATTCCGTCTCAGGTCAATACGACTGAGGGCACATGGGGGAGGGGCGCCGCGAAACGGATAGTTGAGGTTAAGGAGGGGCTCTCTCGATACACCACTGCCACGCCCCGCAACACAGGAACAAAAGGGGGTGTCGGCGAGTCATAGCGTCGTAGGGGATGTATGAAATTCGGCGATAGTTTTCATTATTGAGATTTTAGGCAAATGTGAATCATTTCTGACAATATCCATAACGACGAAATGCAACACTTCAAATGTGATCCTGCTTCTGTTTGCATTTTGAATCTACTTTACTGAGATACAGAGATACTACTCAAACGCGAATCTGTTCATGGGTATGGACGGGCCAATGACTCGCCGACAAAGTCACAAGCACACAATAATACACTGGTTCACTTATTATCTTGAGGAAAGGAGGAAAGAGGGGAAAGAGGGGAAAGAGGGGAAAGAGGGGAAAGAGGGGAAAGAGGGGGTGAGGACATGAGCAACATAAGGACGGCGGCGGCGCGGCGGCCAGCCGGTATGCGTAATGACGGAGCCGCTACGCGACGCTACGCACGGCGTGTGTCGCGGGGCTGATCACGGGTATTAGGACGAGCAGCGGCGGTGCACCGCGCACTGCTGCTGGACGCGGAGTGGACGAGGAGGCAGAATTTATTTCAAAACTGGTTGCTCCGTTTATTTCAAAAATTAAAAGGCGTGAAATTAATAAAGGGCGACCGTGTAGTCGCGGTTGAATGGAGGAGATTACGAAGTTTTCGGTCGGTTTCAACGGTCTTTTAGCAGAAGAAGAAAGTCAAGACTGATGTTTGAGACGTCATCGATGCATAGTAAAAGAAACAATCATGACGTTTTGGATCTTTGTCTACCCCATTTCAGGGCTATCAGCAGGTGCCTGAAACGGCTTTAGTATGGTTTCTCACGCCAAGCATCGGCTGAAATTTCTTACTTCCATGTTTTCTTATATTTTTCTTCTATGAATGCCGAGAGCAAATGCAATAAATTGAAGACAATTTTTCTCAAGGGTGGGAGATTGGGGGAGGAGGAGGAGAGGGGAGGGGGGGGGGAGAGTCACCAGCATGGAGTACCGACCTGCTCGCACGTTGACGTCGCGGGAGTGGACGGAGCCCACGGGGTTGCGTGCCAGACAGACGTACACCTGTGCGTGCACCTCCTGCCGGTAGTCCTCGGCGCGGAAGGGAGGGAACACCAAGTTGCCGTTGGGTAGGACCTGTCGGACAAACGCATCATTCAGAAAATGAGTATGGGCGTTCCTTGGCGACATACACGACGCCTAATCAAACATGCTTTTTATTTATTTTCTCTTTTTGTTATTCATGAAATTAAGTTTTTTCGTGGCGCGGTCCCGGTAACACTCTATTTGCACCATCATGAAATTAATAATGCAAGTTGTTTGGGGGACAAACTTTTTCCTTCTCGCGCAATGGAGAGGGGCATAAATAATTTTCAAAGCAGTCCCTCGACACTCACCTGTCGCAGGCCGGGCACGTCGGTGACGGCGGTGCCGTTCTGTCGGATCCAGACGATCTCCGGGTTGGGAGTGCCCATGGCGGAGCACTCCACGGTGGCGCCGGTCGTGTTGGAGAAGTCCACGCGGTTCACCGGCTCGTGGATGAACACGGGGCCGGCACGGTCATCTTCGGCGGCGGAGACGGCTGTGGACAGAGAGCGACAAGGGTGTCATTGGCGGGGAGATCACATCACATCATATCCGACAGAGGATAACCAATTGACGTCTGACAGTGATCATCACAGTCACTGATCCGCACACAATGGCGCGGGGGCCAGCCAGCGGGTCTGCCAGTCACGTCACGACTCCAGCAGGGCACAAGGCAGCGCGGGTGGGGAGCATAGAAGAGATTCACAACTGCTCCACAGCTAAACATATTCCTTAACTACCAACATCTTCGACTAAGTTTATGAAACTTATTATCACAAAACTAATGGTCCTTCAATTCACCACGAGCTTGATCAATTTGACGTTGTAAAGGTAGGGACAACCGCACGAGATTTCTCCGTTGATTTAATGGAAGAAAAAATAATGGGATTTTCCTCTCAGCTCAATGGCATTTCATTGATTCAAGGGAAAATTCCTACAGGGTAAAGAAAAATTGCTCAAAGTAACTCAAGATTATATCGTATTTTCGATTGATTAAATTTCCATTGCTCTACAGCTACATTCCAATATCTCGCTCGCTCAGGAGGGTAAGATCAGTGACCCCAAAAATATCGCTATCCTCCTGAGAGCAAGATATTTTTTTTTACTGTGTTTGAGTCTGAGTCATAGTTTAACAGTCCTCATTCTCACCTAATATGAGTGAGATTCCTCACTACAAATGAGCGAGGTGAAGAAAATCTCACGCAGAGTGCCAAATCCGGCCAAATCGGTGAATGTAACTCAAATGGGGAGGGCCAAAAGCCCTCGCTGTGACTAGGCGAGAAAAAAAGCCCCACTAATCGCGAGCATACAACCTCACTCAAGGTTTTGTTTGCGGTGTCTAAGGCTAAGGTTTTCAATGGAACCACTTTGTCGGCACGGTGACAATACTGTAGTCCTCAATTCTCTTTCAGACTTAATGAATAAATATGAATGAAAGTCAATATACTTTCAGGTTTGCTGTGTTTTGTTTTGGTGGAGTGTTTTCTCGACTTTCATCTACGTGCAACCTCGTGCCATATGCAAAGCCAGCCAGGGCATAGCATTGCAAGGGGAGCAGAGAGTTCTTTAGCGTTCAATATTTTAGGAGCCATTCCGCCACACGCCGCCATAAACAAACACGGCATGGCCTGGTCCCCGCGGGGCCCGAGAGTGCGCCGCGCGTTACGTCCTCTCGCTCGCGGCTGCTGGCGCCGCGGACCGCAGCACGCTGCTCGGGCCGGCGCGGAGCGGGCCGCGGCCGCAGCGTGCTGCCGGCAGGGCTCCCGCCGCGCGACTACCGAGCCCCCGCCCGCGCCCCGCACCGCTTCCCGGGCCCCGCGGGGGGCCGTGGGCTGCCCAGGGGCGGGGGCTCGCTTCCCGCCGCGGCCGCGAGAGCGCGCTGGGGGCCCGCTGGGCTCGGTGGGGCGGGGCGCGCTTTGTTTTGGCACGACACCGGGGCGATCGGGTCGGGTCGGGGCGGCGAGGAGGGAAAGGGTTGAAGGGACTCGCCCCGCTGCTGGGCCGCGCGGGCCGCGTGACGTCACCTCTCGAGTCGTGAAGATACTGTCGTCCCGGCCACCCGGAACAGAGTCAAGGACAGGCCCGCCTGGGGCAGGCTGGGCTTAGCTCAAGCCGGGCCGGGGTGCAGCAGGGTATCTGGGCTACGGCAAACCATCAACCATCCTCTGTTGAAATCATTTTTGGTGTTTACGACATTATTTTCAATTGCCAACAGGAAGGTTTTTGACGAACTAATTTGCTGATACAACGAATAGTCAATAATATCGCGTATTTACAAAATGCTATGGTTACTTAAATTTGCCTTCATTTACAGAAATATTTTTGCTGTCTCGGAATGCGGGCCATGTGCGGTCGGAAGTCGCGTGATGACAGTCACTGAATTGTGCTCTTCTCCTTCCGCCCATAAGGCCTTGCGAGCCCGAGCCGAGCCGGGCCAATGTGTCACCCACTATTTGTGCTGCACTGGCAGCGGCACAGCCGGCCAGCGCGCGTCCACACATCAGACGGCCGGTCGAGCACTCGGTCGAGCATTTATTCTCGTCGAGGACTCTGGACGGACAGCAACGGCGGTAGGAGGCCGGGAGTCGCTGCCCGCTTCCCCTCGGGTCCGAGCCAGCCGCGCTGGGTCCTGTCGAGGTGACCCCATGAGGTGACCCGCGGCGGGCGGGACTCACGGACCCGGACCGGTGCGAAAGAGGCAATCCAAACGTTGAGTCACGCTCAGGCTCCACCGTCGTCGGAGCGCCGCCGGGCCGGTGACTCAGAACGACTCGTTTATTCGCGGCCGCACCTCTGCCAAACTCCCGCGCACGGCACAAAAAGACGGAAGACGCGAAGCTTGGAGGGGCCGCACCCTAACCCTGCTTCTCCGCCTCATGGAGTGCGCGGTTGCGCCTGCACTTGGCGACCCACAGGCGCCAGCCAGCTGGGCTCAGCTTGCCAGTCCGTGGCGCGGCGGCTCGGGGCGCGGCGTGGCGCTCGCGCGGGCGTTGACACCGAGGCCTCCCGCGCGCCGCTGCCAGCCCCACCACGCCGTTGACCCGCCTTAACAGCCTCACATAATCATCGAGCCCAGCGGGCAACGGCGAGGCAGCCCCCAAGGACCCCAAGGTTGTGCGGCGGGTAGTGTCAGCAGGCTGACTTACACCTTCTTCGCCAGCCCCGCGGGTGATAGGAAAGTGCGGTACGCCCGCCCGGACGCGCCGCCCGCCCGGACGCGCCGAACCGCGGCCCATAGCCAGCCGGAGACGGATCCATGGAAGGTCTGGGGCGGGCCGAACGGTATGGCACCCGGCTGTCAGAAAATTCAAAGGCCGTCACCGGCTGACTATTGCCTTCCGCCGAGTGACTGACGCGCGGCACCGCGCTCCAGCGGCTTCATAATCAGCCTCAACGCCCAGGCTCTACACGAGCGAACACGACTTTCTAGTCGGGGAGAGTTCAATTGATATCAGATAATAATTACAAAGCGTCTGGTTGCTTAAATTATTCTTAAGCGACGCAATAAGTTTGATCTGGTGGTGAAGGTTCTACGCGCTCCTAATGTATAGAGGCGGCCCACCTCTCCCGCTGCCGTCTCGCGTAGCCCGCGGCCGCGTTGGGCAATGTTGTCTCAGCCGGCTCCATCGCGCCCACGCCCGACAGACTGCAGACTGTTATTACGGACATTTCGTCCCCCTCTCATTCTCTCGTCGTCTGTTTCGATCTCAGTCATGTCATGCAAATGGAACCCGTTGATTGACTCTCTGCTGTCTCTCGCCCGACGAGAGGTATAGAAAAGAAGTTGTGGGGTACGTAGGTAGGGACCTAGCTGGATGGATGGTCTGGGCGGCAGCCAATGACGGGGCCAGTCGTGATGGTCGCCACCGCACTGGGTGTGGGCTCCGACCTGCCAAGCACGCCAGAGCTCACGCTGCGAGGTGGAGCCCGCGCTAAGGGTTGACAGGTCAAACACTCGCGCACACCGCACAGTGCAGCTCGGTGCAGCTCCTCCCGATGACGATACGGCTTTAAGTACAAAGCTCATCCCCCTGCATGCCGCGTCAGTCATGCGGCAATCAATCAATCTTCAAAAATAAAACGAGAAAAGTGTGTGTGTGTGTGTGTGTGTGTGTGTGTGTGTGTGTGCAGGGAGGGGGTGGGGCAAAATGAATAACATTAATGCAGGGAGCCCCAGGCATGTGGAAAAAATAGGGGACACCTCACAATGTGGCCGGCTGTCCTGCGCACCGAGGCGCCATCCACTCCAGGTGGGCCCGACAGCTCCCCGACAGCGACTACCCAACTCAATCGGCCTGCGACCTGCAATGAACAGCAGTTTGCTCAGACGCGCCGTGGGCGGGCGCGGCTCGCGCTGCTGCATAGGCGCGCCGGGCGCGTTGCAGCAGCTGAGTGCACTCGGCTGCACTCGCGCGCCCGCTCGCTCGCGGCCGGGGTCTTCACGACTACCCCGCCCACCACACGACTGCAATCTGGTCTGCAATGTCTCGGATTGGGCAAGCAGGCGTGGGGGCGAATTACCCGCCAGACCTTCAACGGGCCGAGAGGGGCTCTCAGCTGCAGCAGGAAGTGCGGCCAGCGGCCGCGGGCCACTGTCGGGGCCTGCCCTGGGGCATACATATACCGGGTGGCCGATTCTCTCTGTCCACTCTCGCAATTACTAGTTGGCCTCTGATATACCACGTCCACGTTCTGAGCAAGTAGGCAACCCGTCCGCACGCGTGCATGCGGTTCCGTATAAGTGGGGGTGACAAAGACGCCAACCAGACACCCATTTCATTTTGCTCGAATCCTCATCAAAAATCACTTAAGCGGGCACTTGCAGTCCACCCCTAGGTGTACGCAGGGACCATGGCGCCTTACGCTCTCTGATACACCACCGGTAATTTCCTTCCTGATTGTGAGCGGTGTGCCTGGCTGCACGCCCCGCGCCCAATGCACCCCCCCCCCCTCCCCCTTCAGCCTGGCGGGGGGCGCACGGCTCAGAGTCACGACGTATTGAGTGTCAAGCCGTTCCAAATCGAGAGAGTCATGAGCCAAGCCCGGCCGTGCGGCAGCAGCAGCCGAGCCCCGGCCGGGGCGGTGTAACCGGATGCGTGTTGAGCATGGCGTCGTCCCGCCCGCACAAAAGCCTTTGGAGAACTTGTGCCTGGGCAAGGAGAGAAGTTGGGAAAGGGGGGGGGGTAGAACGAAGAGACAGAATGGGAGGAGTAGGAGAGAGTGGGATAGAAAACAGAGGGCCAACGCGTCGTGGCCGACAAAACGAATCCATGAGTATGCGTGATAATGTGTACGAGCTAACAATGTTGCCTCCTACAGAGAAGCAACACGCTCGACATGTTCGTTCAATATCCTACCTACACAGCTCCCCATTTTGGCAGAGTTAAAAAATCACTCAAATAAGAGCCGTTGATGCGGCCTCGCGTGACAACTGAAAGGGTGTGAAACGTGATTTACGACGTGAATATTTGCCATACAAGAAGTAGCACTGAACAC